ATGGGCCGGAGGCCACCATCTCTTTTGGGGAAACGGCTGTAAAGGCTGTAAAGGCCTGACTTGCTCTGGGCTGGAGGAACCCTTTCCACGGCTCCTTTTGCCAGCACCTCTGAGCGCTGTTTCAGTGTAATCATCCTGAACGACCTCCTTATGAGAGCGCGATTCAGGTGTCTGAGATCGAGGATGGGCCGGAGGCCACCATCTCTTTTGGGTGAATATCCTCACTTTATTATGCCCATAACCCATTCCGACACCCCAGGGATGGCCTGCCAGGCCTCAGCCCGCGTGACGAGGGGCTGAATTAACTCTGGCCGCTGGCCGCATGGGGGCAGAACACGTACGAGTGATGGAAGAGGAAGTTTGCTCTCTTTTTGATGTGTTTTATTACAAAACACATTTCCTTCTGTACCCGGAGCTGAACGGGGTGTCAAGAGGTGTAAGAGAGGCTGCTTGAGGGGCGGTCCGGCCGTGGCGAGATCTGACCCCATCCTCTTCCTGTCTCGTGGATCAGGATGACGCCTGAGGCGCTGGGTCCAATGCAATCTTGGGTCGGGGTCCCTGGTGCTTAGGAGGAGGGTAGCGTCTGGCCAAGCGAGAGCGTCCCCGCTTTAGCGGGCTGAACAGCTGGGGTGGCAGGTGCTGGTTTTGTAGGCTGCTGAGTCGGCGCAGATTTTGGGCGAGCTGAGACGGCAGCAGAGCTGGAGGGCTTAGGCAGGAAATGTCGCATAGCCTGGGAAGATTTCTGTGCCTCCATGAAGCGTTCAGCAAACCCTTCGACCGCTGGGCCGAAAAGGCTCTTGGGGGCGACAGGAGCATCGAGGAAGGGGATCTTATCCGCATCCTTAATGCTCTCTGAAAAGAAAGCGATCCGTGAGCGGCGAGAGGGGAGACCCGCACGAGCCGCAATAACGGCGCGGCATTTGCAACAACGCCGCTGCTCTTTTAGAAGCTCTTTGAAGTCGCCGGATGGCGGCAGGGGAACCGGACCGGAACTGCTGCGTCGCTGGAGAAGCGGAGAAGCAGGTCAGCCGAGCTGAGAGGTCCCGATTCCAGCTGCGAAAGCGTGTCAACGGCGAGCGGCTTCGGATCAGCTTGAGACGTAGAGTCGTCGCTGAAGGAGAAGAAATCTGAGAATCCTGTGGCGAGCGCCCACTTATATAGCCAGATGCCCCGTCCATTCTGGCGGGCTTTGGCGGGCTTCATCGCCATAGGCTCGTGCAGCTCCGCTGCCGTGCCATTGGTTCATTTTTAAAGCCCTGCACGAACCAATGGCCGTGCAGTTTCACTGCGTGAATGAAATAGGTTTCAGTTCAGGAGAAAAAAGGCTTTTTCCCATATGCATCTTAAGCAAGACGCAGTACGAGTGAAGTATCGAAAGGGAACCAATAAAAACATGACACATAAACAGGTAGCACAAGAGAAAACAGGGAAGCACATGAAAACAAGTCTACGACACGTTTCAAAATAAAAGACATGAAACCCAACACCCAAGTTACAATTGTCAGTAGGTATCAATGATTTATTTATTTTCATTCATTTAACAGATTCATGACTGAAACTTTTGTGGCTATTCACCAAAATTTTTTGTACTGATTCTTTCAGTGCCTCTTTCTGCAGGCCACATTTATACACCAGTAGGTAGCCCACAGTCAGATACTATTTACCTGTGCTACGATCAGTCTAGACTAAAAGTTATAATTCTTTCATTTACTTTATAGATTCATTCAAATATTTAATTGTAAGAAAACGCATTACATGTCTACAAGGAAATCAAGATTTCCTTTTGCTAAACAGTCACAGCTCTTGGAAAATAACAAAATATCAGTGAATTATGAATTCAGTGCAACAGTTTAGGTTCTCATTTATAGTGGAAAGTTTAGTTGATGATTTTTTTTCCCTTCATCCATCATTTAGCCATATCCAGGGCCATTGTCAGGAGGGTACAACCGATAATGTAGTGCAGGGCCCCGTGATTATGGGGCCCACTGAGATCCTCTTTGTATAGATTATACTCACTGGCCCCAGGAGAGAGGGAGAACATCCATAAAAATGTTGTCTCAGGTCCCGTGATTTTTAGTGACGACCCTGGCCGCATTTCTGCTGACTGCACTTTTGAATCTGTTCTGCACAAACACTCTTTGAAATCCACTTGAAACAAAACATTTCTCTGTCCTTCCCCTTCAAACTCTCTCAGGGCTTTCTTTAAGGTGTTGACTTCTGTGAAACATCTGTGAGCAATGTGTTCTTCTCAATTACAGTTGGAGTTCAGCGGCAAAGAGCATCAAGGAAGCATTACCACATCACTCACAGTTCAGCTCTCCGGCATTGCCCTGACCTCCTGAACCCTGACTTTACATGACCTCTCTTCATACTCTCGGTTTAACCAGCATCTCTCAGTATGAGGTCAAACCTTACCACATCCTTTTCAACCTCTACCCACTCACTTATACATCCCCCCATGGATATTTCCAAAGCATTTTCATATTATGTCCACTTTATATCAGGTATTCACTCAGTTAGACATGATGTTGTAACAGATTCATGTGAAGTGAAAGGCCACTTGTATGTGTTTCACCGCTCCAGATTTATTGGGTGTTAAGTTTCTATCAAATGACTTAGTCTTCTATGGCAGGTCACAGAAGAGTCACTCGTTATAATGTGAAAAGTTGGAACTCGGTTTTGGCTTTCTGTTTATTTCCTCATTAAATGTATACAGGCATCTGAAAACACTTTTTGCTACTTGGAATATGATGTAATGAAGGCTTTCTCCCTATTCCCTAGGTAACTAAACAGAATTACAAACACCTGAAGCCAGCATATATTTTTGATGCTGTCCTGATATTATAATGAAGAAAAAAAGTGTTTTTAAAAGAAGGAAGTTCTTGGAAAGAAAACCTTATTGGCACATATTTGGCATAATCGTATCTTCAATTTCTTAGGGGGAAAAAAGTTATCCAATCACATGATCTGTTTTTGTTGCACATCAAAAAATTAAATGTGTTTCCATCATAGTTTATTTGCATGTCTTCCTATTGTACAAAAAAATATCCACCTCAACTGAGTGATTTTATTTGAGATTTTCTGCACATCTTGCAGTTTCCATCCAGCTTTTTTTTCTTCCATGCAATATCCCAAAGTATGCATAGAAATATGTGGGTGGAAATGTAGCTTGTGTTCCAAGCTCACCAAGTATTAGATAATGTAAAGTGTTTTTTTTTTTTTTTTAACTTCACATAGTTCAGTTTGTAGAATGTCATATGGTGCAGTGTTATTTTAGTATTATTTATCTACATCTATATATATTTATTAATATTTTGAAATGTTTTTTTTTATTCTTATATTATGAGTTGCCATTTTAATTTACATTTTAGTAATTTTGTTTTGTAATTTTTATTTAAAATATTTCTATTTAAATTTATTACATTTTATTTCCATTTTAGTCATTTTAGTACATCAACTTTTATTTCTGAGTTGCCATGGCAACGTCAGATATAAATATTGTTTTATTTCAGCTTTATTTTAATTAACAAAAATTATTTTAAGAGTTTCAGTTTTAGTTAGCAATAACAATACTGATGCAGTGTGCCTTCCCCCAAAAAAACTTTATATGTATAGCGCTTTTCACGATACAAATCATTGCAAAGCAACTTCACAGAAAATTTGGTAGTTTTGTATGTTGGTTCAGGGTTGGCGTCATCTGAGGCCCTCTGAGGGCTTGGCATCATCTCTTCAAAGGTGTTCAATCATCTCAGATCTTTGTAAGGTTGGATCCAGACTGAAGCTTGTGTAATTCCTAGTTACCTCTGGATGCCCATCCCGTGGCAGAAACAGAGAAGCAAATAGAAAAAGATTACTGTAGCTGCTGTTCAAACCAAGCCAAAAAAAAAAAAAAGATAATGTACTCAAACCAATCAAAGAATGATAATGTGCATTTTATCAGATATAACTGAAGTACAAGGTTATGAGATACATTATGTGAATACTTGGCTAAAGAGATGTCTCTTTAATCTAGATTTTAACAGAGAGATTGTGTCTAAACCTTGAACATTTTCAGGAAGGCTATTCCAGAGTTTGGGAGCCAAATGTGAAAAAAGCTCTTCCTCATTTAGTGGACTTTGCCTAGGTACTACCAAAAGTTCAGAGTTTTGCGACCTTAGGGAGCGTGATGGGTTGTACCGTGATAAAAGACTAGTTAGGTACGCAGGAGCTAAACCATTAAGGGCCTTATAAATAAGTAGTGATATTTTGTAACTGTAACAGAACTTAATAGGAAGCCATTGTAGAGATTGTAAAATTGGAGTAATATGATCATATTTTCTTGACCTAGTAAGGACTCTAGCAGCTGCATTTTGGACTACCTGTAGCTTGTTTACTGAAGATGCAGGACAACCAGCTAGCAGTGCATTACAATAGTCCAGTCTTCAGGTCATGAATGCATGAGCTAGCTTTTATGAATCAAAAACAGGTAACTTTTGTAGCTTGGCAGTGTTTCTAAGATGGAAGAATGCTGTTTTTGTAACGTGAAATATGATTTTTTTAAAGACAAGTTGCTGTCTAATGTAACTTTCATTTCAACAAGCTTTCATTTGTTTTTTTGTTCATTTATTTTTAATTTTTCTGGTTTAATCACAATCAGATTTTTTTTTCTAGGTCCTGCATTAATTTTATATATTGGCCTCACTATTTGGTGAACAGACACAGTCTTTATAAATTGGACAAAACAAGTACTTCTATCATTTAAGTGGGTAGAACAAAAGTCATCATATTGAGAATTGGAATTAAATTAATATTAAATTAATTAAATTAATATTTATTAGTTCATAAATCATGATATTTGCACATTTTTGTAATTTACAAATATAATTTTTATAATTTTAAATACAAATATTAAATACTATAAAATAATTTAAAAGCTTTTAGAAATGATTAAGATGTTCAGATTAGGATATATTCAAGATGTAAGGCATATATGTTGTTGCTTTTTACTTTATGGTTACAACACACAATACATTCAATTGAAAAATGTTTGTGTTTTAAAATACTTTTTTTTTTTTATCCTTTATTGTGGTCATTCCTGTTGTTGACCGTCATATCTTTGAGGCTGCTCAAAGGAAATAGCAGTAAATATCGTCTGTTACACCAATGTCTGTGTTAAAGCACTGATGTCAGTTTGCTTGTTGTATTAATGGAGTGGACTGTCTGGTAGAATGACCTCAGCGTTAGGCAGGATTAGGCGTAGTGTGGCATGGTGATTAAGAGATCTTCCTTTAATTGTATTAGTCTGTCAACAGATGTTCCACTCATTATACAAGGAGGACTGGGAGCGCAGCTTAGTGGCTGCTGTTAAGTCGCCTTTATCTACTCCTGAGCAAGAACATTAGCGCTAATAGAGTCATACTGGTTGGTTGGTAGTCCTTGCGCCAATTAATACTTGGCTGTGTGATGTTTTTTTTTTTTTTGAGCTCTGATAAACATCGGCCTCTTTGGGTTCTGACTGGAATTTTGCAAAGTAGAGTGTGATATAAGAGTAAAAAATAATATATAATAAATCACAAAATCCACAACCTTTTGAGTGTCCGAAACGGCTCTTTTGACAAATTTGAGCTCAAATGGCACAAGAGTAAAATTGTACAGGATGTATTCAGACAAACATCCCTATGCTGTTGCTCATTCTCAGTTCCCCATTCCTCCTCTTAAGCATGCCGGACAGTGGATGTGGAAAAGAGGGAGGGGTGAGGAATGAGAGAGAGAGAAGAGGAGTGGAAATGAGGGGGCGGTTTGAGCTTCATCAGAAGTTGAGCTGGAAGAGGAAGCCGCCAATGTGGGGAAATAAACAGAGTCTGAAGTGGCTTAACCAGGTTTGCTAATCTGAAAATCTCCTTTATTTAGTGGGATGCTGTTAGGTGTTTAATTGGTCCGCTTTAAGCTCTCCAGTCATGTTTTCCATGAGAGAGGCTGAAATGTTTATATGAGGTTTGAAAACAATCAGATGACTATGGAGTCGAAAGATGCTTTTTTTGCGCCACCACTCTGGGCTGTGAACAAGCTAAATTTCAGGGATGGGTCAGGATGGTTGACTAGTCATCTAACAAACCATCATCTGCATTTTAAAGGGAATTCATTTGCATTTTATTTCTCACATGTGGGTTTCTAATGTGCTGGCAGTGTGCTGTTTAGCATGCTACCAGTAACTGATGTCCGTGATAAGTAGTTATAAATTCACCCCATTTTAGTCACTGTTCTAACAAGTTTTCGGCCTAAATTAAATGAATGAATTAATTAATTGTTTCAACAAAAAACTGTGTCTGACTATAGTAGGTGAAAAACAATCTGTGAAATGAGACTCCTCAAATTCTTTTTTGAAATTATTTTTTTTTTTTTTCTCTCAAAGCCTTCAGCGTGGGAACCACATATAACTGATGGCAGAGTGTGGAGGATAGCTGTGTTCTGGTTCTGAATGATACCTTTGGGCTAAAGCGGGAAACCGTGGACATATCTCTCCATCTGCTTCCCTGTGACATCAAAGGAAAAGCCTTGGATTCTACGGCCTATATATAAAACCTGCAGGAAGACATGTTATTTTGGCTCTCTTCCTGTAACCTAAGGCTGATCTTGAGTGCTCTTTTTCTCATTCTCTCTCACTTTGTGTTGCTTTATTCTCTCTGGTCTCTGCTGAAATGGACCCTCTGATGACTAAATGAGTTCAGCGCCAACCCTAATCAGACACACCTGAACAAGCTAATCAATGTCTTCAGGATTACTAAGGCTATAGGCAGGTGAGGTTTTTTTCAGGGTTGGAGCTGAACTCTGCAGGACTGCGGCTCTCTAGGACCGAACTTGCCTACCCCTGACCTAGACAAATAGAGGAATATCTCTGACAGGGTGTTAAAGAGTCCCAAGCTCATGACAGTTAGAAAGTGTGTGTTGTGTTTGTGAGAGCACAGGTGATGGACCATCACCGACGTGACACTACTAGAGCGTAATTTGGTCGGTTCCAATTAGCTTAGCATGCCATGCTCTACTGACCACTGACAGTCCACTTCTCTTGCTTTATTGACACCGTGGCCTTTGCTTTCATCAGTGTTTGTGAGAGCTATTTGGAGGTATAGATTGGACCTCACTAGAATGTGTTTCTTACTGATGCATTCAAAATTCAATAGGAAGGTTATGACAATAAGATCTGTTAATGTTTTCGATTTTACTTTCATGTTTTTCATTAGCAGCTGTTGTCTAACTTAATTGCCTTAAAAGTGTTTATGAAGGTCAAAATTCCAAATAAAAATGAATATTTTTTTTGGGGACACACACACACAAAAAATAATATGTGTCTAATTAATTGTCTTTTCCAG